ATTCCCCGAGTCCCCTGTCCTGGCTTCTTCTCTCACAGCTCCAGTTCACTTGACCCTCCCTCTGCCAGAGCACAAGGTGGGTGGCTCCACAGGGAATTTTGTGCATTGGCCCTTTAAGAGGGTGCCTGAATTTTCAACTGTCATTCCCTGGCAAACAGCATCCCACTGCTTTTCACAGCCATATGTTATGTGGGTACCCTTCTCAGTTTTGGTGCTGCCTGCAGGGGGCCCCTGTTTGGGTATTAGATCCCAGAATTCTCAGTGGCAACCACCCACAGCTGAGATATCTCTCTGGGACTTCAGTTGCTGTCTGTGGATGTCTAGCCAGCTCTTTTGCGCCTCGATCTCTTCTACGAGTCTCTATGTAGTCTCCACTTTCAGTCCTTGGATGTCAGGGTTCTCTCTGATGAGTTTTCCATCGATTATTCGAGAAGTTTTTCTGTATTTTAGTAGTAATCCCATTTTGTTCCTAGTAGCATGTCCGTGCAGCATCCACTTACTCTGCCACCATTTTTAATCTCCAACCATTTTCTTCATTAGCTTTTTTCGATGTTTGTGATTATAAAATAGAAATCTTAGAAAGGACCGCAGAGATCACTTAGTTCAACCTACTCAACTGATAGATGAGAAAACCGACGTCACTCAACTATCTGGAAGATGAGGATTTGAATGGTTTTTGATGTCACTCCCACCCCACTATACCATAATCATTCTTTTTAATATATATATATATATAGTTGATTTCAGAGGGAGAAAAAGAGAGATAGAAACATCAATGATGAGAGGAAATCATCAATTGGCTGCCTCCTGCATGCCCCCCCCCACTGGGGGTCGAACCCATAACCCATGCATGTGTCCTGACTGGGAATCAAGCCATGACCTGTGGTTCATAGGTTGACACTCAACCACTGAGCCGAATCTGCCAGCCATAATCATCTTTAATTTGTACACATGTTTGTAAGAAAGAAGAGGTGTGTACCTGGGATGTGAATAGTGCTGACAGCTCTAATGCCTGATGCCATGGAAAACTGGGTGAGGACCACCAGTATAATCCATATTTAAATAATAGAAGATACCATCTCACTGCATGCTTTACTGGATATGCACACATTAGAGGTTATTATCATTGCCTGCACCCAGTTCATGCAGTGAACTTCTCTTAGAGACACATGGACCTGTTTCAGTGGAAGAACTCATGGGGGCACCACTTTTAATTCATCTAACAATCCCTGAAAAACCATACACAGATTTGAAGATTCTAAGAAACAAGTTTGAGAATCATTTCTTGCATTTAAAAAAAATTCCCCAATTGTCCTATGCAGTGGTATTTCCCCCAATTGCCAGTTGATAAAACTTAAGTAAAGATAAATTAATTAACTTAAGGGTGGAAGATTGATTCCTAAATTCATGCTCACAATCTTTCTACCATACCACCTTCTAGTGGAGTGAAACGAACCAGTCCATTGTTAAAAAGCCCTCCAGGAAGAACAGCACCATGCAATTCTTGAATTTGCAGATTCTATTTGTTAATTTTGCTTCCCTGGAAATACTAGTGACATAATTTATTAACGACAGGGATGAATCAAGAAGATAATGCTTTCTATTTGTTCAATTCCGTTAAATTCCTTTCAAGCAGTGAAAGGAATTGAACAAATAGAAAAGGATTTTTCCACCGAATGATCTATTTATTAAAGAGCCTAGTACTGATACCAATGAAAATATTTCCCATCTCTTGCCCTATTAGGTGTCCAGCTCATTAATCCACAACTTTGTTTCCCGTCACCACCTTCATGTTCTACTTAAATGGGCATGTTGAATGGCCCACTAGTTGGTACTAAAGTTATTTTGAACTTGAAATTATACATTTGTGGGTGCTTGAGGTTTTTAGCTCCAATTACATTTTATCTTTTCACTCACTGGTTAATAACAGAAATTACTCACAGCAAAGCATACTCAAATCCTATATTTTGTTGTCTCCACTAGAGGACCTTTCCTTTTGCAAATTGCTTGACTTTTCCCTTTCCTATGCTTTTTAAAAGTTATAATTGTGTTACAAACATAAGCTCTGGGGACACTACTACAATAGAAGAATTCAATACTAACAGGGAAAATAGTTTCTAAATCTTCCTCTGTGATGATTTCAAACCTGTTCTTTGGAGTTTACTGAGAATGCAGATTTGCCCTGCAGCAAATCTATTCCCATGCTGCCTGATTAGTCTAATTTGCTGCAACATCAAACTCATTCTACTACTTTCCCTGATCAAGGACCATGGCCTTTTTGCAACTTTCTCTGAATCCTAGTTATCAGATCTCTTGGAACCAAATACTGGGGGAAACCTGAATGTTCCTAGCTGTTGAAATAGGTTTGATTTTGTGAGTAAATATTTTCATGTCCTTTGGCAGTCTGTTGTATATGTAACCTATTATGAAGGAGAATTTTGGTATTAAATTACATTAAGACATTTTCCCCATCCAGATTCTGCCTGCATATGATACTTGTTAGAGTAAACAAATTCTATTCTTAAGCCCTCAGATCGAACAGTTTGTCAGCTTTGAATGAATTGGGTTGACAACTTAATGCTCCCATGGAAATTTTGTGCCAAACAGAGACAACCTGTTAGCAGAAAAATATCCTGAAATAACTGTGCATAACAGGATTTGCCAGCACTGCAATTCACTTAGTTAGAGCTCCAGCTCAAGGCTGATGCTCAGGGCCTTGCGGGTAGCGGGAGATTCTAGAATGGCACATACCAGCGCTAGATTTAGAGGTGCAGCTTTATGAGAGCTGACATTTATTCAAATCAAGTCTCTATTGATTCAAGAGGTCTTAATGATCACTTCCCTCCAGCTTCTCTTGGAAGAAGCCATCCAAGGCAAGCCAGTTGCCACCCACTAAGCATATTCCTCACCAACTGGCCTAACCAGCTGGCATCTGAAGAGAAAACAGCTCAGCTTCCCATTAATGATTCTAGCAGAAAAGAGTTTGTGAAAGTGCTGATGTGAGACATGTGACCTCATTCTCGTTAGCAAAAGAGGCTTGAACAAGTAGTCTGGGTACAAAGGGGTAGCTACATTTGGAGGGGCAAGGATGAAAGAGGAATAAGGAGCAGGTGGCAGCAAAAAGTTAAAGTTAGAGAAAGGACATTTTCCAGTGGGTTGACTATCTTTGCTTCAGCAAGTCCTTCCACAGACAGGCTGATACCATATATATCAAAATAGAGGTCTCACTCTACATGTACAAAAAAGAAAGTTATGTTTAGTGAGGATCTCTGGTACAGGTGATAGAAATGGAACCTTTCGAGGAATTAAGGACATGCCTCCAAAGAGCAGGCCAAGCACCAATAGGTCTTCTACTCGAGAATTTCCAAATCTTTGACTCCAGCCCAGAACACTCTCATATCCAACTGTCAAAGACATCTCTGCTTGACTGAGGCTGCTTTTCCTCCCGCCCCAGCTCCACCCTGTCCTTCTCTGATGGCCCATCTCAATGAAAGGCAGCCCCACCTGCCCAGTCTCTGGACCAGGGAAACTTCCCCTCCTCAGGCACTCACTCTTCCACCCTAACACACACACACACACACACACACACACACACACATGCCCCTATCACTTGGGAGAGAAAAACACCCTGCAGATAGCAGAGTACCATTTTGCTATAAAGTACTGTGAATGATATTATAAAGTTAGAGAGTCATTTTATGAAGAATAGTTTCAGAGTGAAAACACACTAGGTAACCCAAGGCACAGAGAGAGGGAGAGGGAGGGGAGGAGAGAGAAAGCCCATAGACCGTCTACATTAGAAGAGCATCTAGGGAGCTGACCTTGAAGCAGCTTGCAGTTCAGTAGGAGTTATTTATTCATTCTTTGTGTGAAATTGTTCAAAAATAGCATTGATCCAAACTTTTAGGCAACATGGGAATGCATAGGTATTTCCCCTTCAGCTTGGCATGTTTGGTGGTGGCAGCCAAGGCACCTGCCACCTAGAGCAGGCTGGAGCCAGATGGAAGGGGAACAGAGAGCCTGCAGCTTAACTTAGCCCCCCAATGTCATGGGCTTCCCCTTTGCTGATACTCACACATCACCCTTTAGGTAGTGTCTGAGTCCCAGATTTAGTGTTCACTACTCATTCTGCTTCTAATTTGAGTCTCCAGAGCTAGGCTTCTTATGACCACCTTAAGTAGTGTTTAAATTGTACATATTTTCCCATTATAGGCTTCTTTGCCTTCATAGGTCTCTAAAGAAAAGACCCTCTTAAAGTGTGAGTGAGTCCCCTATTACATATATACATGTGTACATGTGTGTAAGACAGCTCTGTGGTTAAATGAGAAGATCTCAGTCCTTAAAGATTGACCCCAAATTCTTAAGTCAATTTGGGCAAATTCCTTTACTTTTTGTATTAGTTTGACTACCATAACAAAATACCATAGACTAGGTGGTTTACACAACAGCAATGTATTTTCTCATTTGGAGGCTAGAAGGCCAAGATCAAGATGTAGGTTGAGTTGGTTTTGTCTGCAGCCTCTCTCCTTGGCTTGCAGATGACTGCTTTCTTGCTATGTCCTCATGCTGTCTTTCTACTGTGTGCACATATCTCCAAGGTGTTTCTGTGTGTCCTAACCTTCTTTCCTAAATGGACACCAATTCTGAGGTATTGAGGGTTGTGACTTCAACACATGAATTTTGGAGGAACAAAATTCAACACATAACACTTTTCTTAACTTCATTTTTGCTTTTTGATGTCTGAAGTAGTTGGGTCAATGACTTTTGAGGTCCTTTCTCAGTCTACCAGTGCCGCCTGAGAGTGTGTGCTTCTCTCTCTCTCATGAGATTATATATACTTAAATGCACTAGCCATGTTGTTTTTTTCTTCATATGTTTCCCCATCTAAAGGTAACACCTCTTCCCTTCTATCCATTGTTAGTTGTTGGTACTGTCATTGCCAAGGTTATCTGAGTTGGTTCCCTATCTCGCTTGGAATTCAGAATGGCTGTGGATGAACAGAGGAGCCTCTTGGGAGAACTGAGCCCAACTACAGTGGCTGCTGTGTGCTCTGTCTTCCCTAGGTCACTGACACCCTTCCTTGTTAGAGCCCCATTTGTTGAGAGGCATAGGCATACCCCTGTGATCCTTGTTTTGAGAATGTAGATCAATGCACTCCCACCCCACAGGTCCTGACTGGCTCCCACATCTGCTCATAGTTCCATCCTTAGTTTAGAATCAATGAGAGTACCCTCACTCACAGGAAGGAGAATGGTGCACTGAGCAGGAAAACCCAGCAAACACTCATGTTGGTGGCTAAAAGAAATTCTTGCTTGAAATGAACCTTTAGGGGAAGGCTTTTCTCTTCTCGGCTCCAATTAGAGGAAGCATCCACATAGCTACTTTCAGAAGTTCATGCACATCTAGTTCATCCTAGATCACTGACATTGCTCCCAATGGCCATGTTGCAAAAGCTGTACTTTCAGACATCTTTTCACATCTTCAGCTCCTAGTCTGCTTCAATGTTCCAATTTAACAAAAAAGAAGAAAGAGGAAACAACCAGTTTTAGATTTTGGTTTATCCTGAGAAATAGTAGAAAAACGTTCCCAGGAAATGTCCTGCGTTCCCAGCGTGTTTAGTCTATTGCTGAGGCTTTTTACTGAATGAGGACATTATTTCCCCACTGAGCCAAAAAACAAAACAACAAGAGCACATTATATTTCCAGCTATCTGTCTTGTCAGAAAAAAAGGCCCTCAGTTTTGATAACCCTAGCAATGGTATGGATTTTGTTTCTAAAGAGCTAAGTTTGGAACAAAAGGAAGAAATGAGAAATACAAATAAAAAGTAAGAACTTCAGACCTGTTGCCCTTTAGGATGGATTATTTACTGAGGTCATAATGTTCTGGTAGTAAGCCTTGGGCTCCAGAAAATGAAAGGCATTACAGTGCATGAGCTGTATTATTCAGCACAACTAGAATGCTTAGAAACAGTAACTCACTGAAGTCTCTAGCAGTCAACATCTACCTTCACTCGGGTGCCAAAATCCATTGTCTTCATTTTTAATTTTTAAGTTAAAATATTTTTACTATTATTATCACTTTTCACTGCCTTATTCTAAGAATTTCTTATCAGAAACATACCTTTCCTTGCAAAAGGGAATAAATGCAATGAGTAGAAATAAATAATTTGGCCTCTTTTTCTAATCGTGCCTCAATGCTCCCAGCACTCTAGGTGAGTCACAAGGATTAAGGCAAAAATGTTCTTATTCTTTTGAAAACTTAATTCATGAATTTGTAAAATTCTTGTTCTTTTCCTTATCTGCTCTTTTGGTGTGTGTGATTTTCCCCCTCCTCCCCTTCTCTTTCCTTTGTTCTTTTTCCTCTTCTATTCTCTTGCTTTTCACTTCTCTTTCTTTCCTAAGGGTACACAGTCTGTTCCACAGGTGATTATATCCATGTTTACCTATCATTTTCATGGTTCGGTTAGATACTTCAGATCAAATTGCTTGCAGAGTCCTGGCATCAAATACATACCTTCATATAGCAAGGATAGATTAAGGATTAATGAAAGGAAAATTCTTGTTCTTTCCCTATGTCTCCAGGGTAAAGGGGAATTGGAGTCAAGGTTGACACAGATCATGAAGGAGGGTTTCTACCCATCATCATGACAGAATAAATGATACTGAACTAGACCTCCCACTGTAAGTAACCAACAAAGCACACCAAAAAACCTGATAAAATATGTGAAGTAAAACTTTTCAAATATTAAAAATAGGCAGCAAAGGAGTGTGATCCCTGACATAAGGGAAACATGGGCAGTGAACTTTATGATTATTTCAGCTTTTCATCTGGAGACAGTTTGGGACTGCACCCAGGGGAAACCCAAACAGAGCATGGAGGCCTACTGAGTTGAGAAGACAGAGATTAGAGTTTGGGGAGACTGATACAGCTAGAGAGTGTAGGGGAGATACCAGAGAAGAGGGAGCTATATAGAACCCCAGAAATGTATACAAAAGTTCCCTTGAGTCTTTAGCTAAATGCTAAGCTATATGTTCAAAGAGTAAAACTAGATAAGGTCAGGAAACCAACAACTTCAAAGAAGTTTTAAGCTGAACAATTCCTAGGTCTCACAGCTCACTTGTAAATTTTGGCCAGCCAGAATGAAGATACTGCACCTTGTTAAACACCTGGGAAATTCAGTGAAGACTAGAAATGCAATATGGCCAAATTAGATCCATTCTAACAAAGCTTAAAATAAGCCTCAGGAAGATCAAGCTAATCAAACAACTTAACTGCCTGTCAAATAAAAATTTAACACTTATTGGAGGGAGATAAAATCCAGATATTCAACAACATAACACACACAAGGTTCAGCATTCAATAAAAATAATGAGACCTATGAAGAAGCACATAGTAAGAAATATCAGCCAAGATCAGGAGACTAAGAAATAAATCCAGATGATGGAATTAGCAGGCAAAGACTTTAAATCTACTCAAGAATTTAAAAGGAAACAAATAAAATGAGAAGAATGGCTTTATTAACATTAGAAAATACACTTCAGGATGAGGAATTTTACCATACACGAAGAGGGATATTTTATAATGATAAAAGGGCCAATTCATCAAGAAGACACAATTTCAATACATATGCACCTGGTAACAAAACTGTAAATTACATGAAACCAGGTAATCAGGAAATAACAACATATATGGCTACTGTTTTAAATTAAAAAGGAAAATACTACACAGCTATTTGCAAGGTCATGTTAATCATCATAGATGTATTGAGTAAGTAAAACATCCTAGGGCATTATTGGGGTGACAGGAAAACAGTTTAACAGATTTGTCTTTAACTTCAAGGAGCTCACAAGAGTTGAAATACAGAACACACATGCACACACACACAGGCAGACTAAAAAATTAAAATAATGTCTTGAGCATTTTTCCTTTAATGTCTGCCTTTCAATTTTTGAATCTAAGAAATCATTAAGCTCCTGTTGGCTGTTTCCATCCTGAACTATTAGTGCTTGGCCTTACAAATATCATAGTAGCTGCTTAGTCATCCTGTTCTGCCAAGTAGCTAACTGACTACCCTCCTAGGTTCAGCTAGAACCTACAGAACTGGGACCCTGATGGATGATCATTGTTAACATTGCATAAGACCAGAGATCTACTTTGGGGTTCTAATAAGGCTTGCGATGAGCTGCTTTAGGCACCTGTTTTCTACTCATTCTCAAAGCAAGCATTGAGCCATTAGGGCACTTACATTAAGAGAATACTTTAAAAAATATATTAGTTCTCAGGGTGATTCATATTCATTATGTTCAATTAAACCAGTAAAGCCCCACTGAAAATGAGAAAGGAGCTACTCTTTCGGAAAAATCATTTTCAAATATCTACTTTATACACACAATTTAATCTTTTAGAATTCAGTCATATCTCCCAAAGAAACTGTCTGGAGGTAGTGTTGGGAATAAAATAGATGAACCCTTAAAGAGCCTTTTCATAAATCCAAGCTCAGCTAACAGGAAGGGCTTTTTGTTGCCTTTTAATAAATGATTAAATATTTTTATGCCACTTCTTTCCAAGAAAGATTAAAGTAGCTTACCAACAAACCTTCTATGGATCTTAGCAGGTTCCAGAAAGAAAGAGCAGAGGCTGAAAGATATGTTTCTTCTAGTCTTGCCTGAGAGTGAGAGCTTGTTTCTAAAGCTTGCTCCCATCTCTGTGGAACATGGAAAGACTATGGGCCTTCGAGTCAAATAAATTGGAATAGAATCCCAACCATTTCACCTACAACCTCTGTCTTAGGCAGTCATGAAACACCATGGAGCTGTATTTTCTTCATTTATAACATACTTCAACCCCCCACCCCCGCCATACACACATTTGCAAATATTAGTTCTCTTCTTCATGCTCTCTTCACACCTCTATTAGAAGCCTTGAGGTTCAATACTGTTACATGACCATGTGTCTTAGATCTTTAGGGATCTGGAAAGTCAGTCACTGTTCTTACTGTTAGAAATGTACTTGTCTGCCTCCCTCTCTTTGTCTTACTCACCTACATCCTTTTTCCCCTCACAGTGTCTGCCATGGAGGAGATATCAATATATCTTATCTAATAAAAGAGAAACATGGTAATTAGCGTACGGCCGCTATCCTTCCCATTGGCTAATCAGGGCGATATGCAAATTAACTGCCAGCCAAGATGCGGTTAACCAATCAGGGTGATATGCAAATTAACTGCCAACTAAGATGGCGGTTAACCGCCAACAAAGATGGCGGTTAATTTGCATATGTAGGAACAATGCTGGGAGGCGAAAGGGAAAGGACGGAAGAAGCCCCCTGCCACTGACGGTGATCGGGGGGAGCTAAGAGCCAGGGGCAGGGCCCTGCCCCCTAGCTGTGATCAGAGAACCAGGCGCCTTTGCCACCCCGACCAGTGATAGCGGGAAGCAGGGGTGGAGCCAGCAATGGGAACTGGGCAGGGACGGAGCCGACAGTCCGGGGAGCTAGGGATCCCTTGCCCAGGCCTAAAGCCTTGGCCAAACACGTTAGGCCTGGGCAGGGGACCCCCAGCTCCCACCATTCCCGGCTCCGCCCCTGCCTAGACCTAACGCCCCTGGCTAAGGCGTTAGGCCTGGGCAGGGGACCCCCAGCTCCCACCATTCCCGGCTCCGCCCCTGCCTAGACCTAACGCCCCTGGCTAAGGCGTTAGGCCTGGGCAGGGGACCCCCAGCTCCCACCATTCCCGGCTCCGCCCCTGCCTAGACCTAACGCCCCTGGCTAAGGCGTTAGGCCTGGGCAGGGGACCCCCAGCTCCCACCATTCCCGGCTCCGCCCCTGCCTAGACCTAACGCCCCTGGCTAAGGCGTTAGGCCTGGGCAGGGGACCCCCAGCTCCCACCATTCCCGGCTCCGCCCCTGCCTAGACCTAACGCCCCTGGCTAAGGCGTTAGGCCTGGGCAGGGGACCCCCAGCTCCCACCATTCCCGGCTCCGCCCCTGCCTAGACCTAACGCCCCTGGCTAAGGCGTTAGGCCTGGGCAGGGGACCCCCAGCTCCCACCATTCCCGGCTCCGCCCCTGCCTAGACCTAACGCCCCTGGCTAAGGCGTTAGGCCTGGGCAGGGGACCCCCAGCTCCCACCATTCCCGGCTCCGCCCCTGCCTAGACCTAACGCCCCTGGCTAAGGCGTTAGGCCTGGGCAGGGGACCCCCAGCTCCCACCATTCCCGGCTCCGCCCCTGCCTAGACCTAACGCCCCTGGCTAAGGCGTTAGGCCTGGGCAGGGGCAGAACCAGCCATCGCAGGGAGCAGGGGCGGAGTCAGTAATCGTGAGCAGCTGGGGGTTCCCTGCCCAGGCCTAACGTGTTTGGCCAAGGCTTTAGGCCTGGGCAAGGGGCCAATCAGGCGATCGGAGGGTGATGGGGGTCAACGCCAGAGGGCTCCCAGTATGTGAGAGGGGGCAGGCTGGGCTGAGGGACACTCCCCCCCCTCACCCAGTGCACGAATTTCGTGCACCGGGCCCCTAGTTGTTAAATAAAGCTCTCTTTTTCAGGAGTATTCAACAAGCTTTTCGTTTCCTTCTTTAGAGAAGAAAAACAACACAAAACAACTTCCAGTTGCTCTTGCAGCTCCCTTACACAGCACTCTGATGTAGTAGAGTGTGAAGAGCTTTGAAGTCACACCCTGTGTTTCAGTTCCAGCTCCCCCACCTACTAGCTGTGTGACCTTGAGCCATCAAATGAGGAGATGTGTGTACATTGGCCAAGGTAGGATTGGCTGATGGGAAAGACACAGGACATTTTGTCCCTGTCCTGTCCCCTGCTCCTACCCAGATTACACTCTTAGATCTAAGTGACCCCTTCACAAATGCTGCCTGATCCACTCTGCTCCATCAGGTGCTCTGCACTGCAGTCTGTCCATCCCCTCACATTCCATTCCCTGCCTTGTTGTCTTCACTTTCACATGGAAATAGAGCCTGGTAATTATAGGGCTGGTTTCTGGGAAGGTCCTGGCTGTTCCCACAGCACTGCAGCAGTGAAAGGGGATACTCCTTAACTTCCTTTCATTCTTGTTCCTTAAGAGAAAACGAATTAAAAAGACTGTCTGAGGAGATCCCCATCTCTCAAATTGCTGAGGTACAGAGTACGACATTGGCTCAGAGACAAATTAACTATCGTCTGCTCTTTGAGACACCACTGTCTGGAACTTCTGAATATATCTTTCATTTGTAACAAACTGGCTGATCATTTGTCTCAAATCAAAGTGGTTGTGAATGTTTTTAGGATTAGTGTTCAACAGCTGTGCGTTTTAATATAGATCAAATTCCTTCATTCCCCCTTCTAGTATTTCCTGGTAGAAAACAGGCAGAGAGAAAGGCACAGAAAGGGAACATGAACTGGTCTTGTTGAGGCTCCACTAACTTGCCATTCAGAGGGGCTTCCAGTGTTGTCATATTTGCAGCCACTCAGTGTCTCCCTCATTTCCTTCCTCTTTCTCCCTTTTCTCTGCTACTGCCTAAAACATAAAAATGAATAAGAGGAAAACACAGGACTTATAAATCTGAATGTGGCATTTGGACTATGTAAGAAGGTTGGAGCTTAGGAAAATGGGACAGTGTTTATTTATTTATTTTTTTTAAGATTTAAATTTTTTTTAAAATTCTTTATTAGTTAAGGTATTACAAATGTGTCCTCATCCCCTCCATTAAACCCCCATCCTCCCCCCACCCCCCACTCATGCTCATGTTCTCATCCCCCTGTTGTCCATGTCCATTGGTTTGGCTTATATGCATGCATACATGTCCTTTGGTTGATTTCTTCCCCTTACCCCCTCCCTCCCCTACTTTCCCTCTGGGGATTGATAGTCTGATCGCTGTTTCTCTGTCTTTGGAGTGTTTATGATACCCCATTGGCTCCTTTTCCCTAACCAAGGTCCTTACTTTTATATAAAAGCCTGCTTCCAGAAATGATGTTTCTAAACTCACACTATTGTGAAAATGACTGGTAGGAATTAGTGTGCTGCCTCTCTCAGAGGTATTTTCGTTGTCATCACTTTTGAAAGCCAAAGGACTTTAAGCATTTAACATTGACTATTAGATAAAAGGTAGAGGTATGTTTAGGCAAGAGGTCCTACCTAGAGCCCCTGAAACTGCCTCTCAATTATTCAGAGAGGGAAATAATTAAAGCAATCATCACTCTTTTTTTTCCTCATCTACCTGTATTGAAAAAAAAACAAATATAAAAATAAAGCTTAATTAAAATTTTGTAACTTAAAAATTTCCAAAAACAAAGCATACACACTGGTTACAAATAGAGAGGACCTCTTCCCCACAATGTCATTTGTGAAATAAATTTAGTAGAATCAAGCCCTAGCCAGTTTGGCTCAGTGGATAGAGCAGCGCTATGACATGCGCTGACCACCAGGGGGCGCGTGCAGACATTGGCGGGCTTTGGCAGCAGGCAGCAGAGCGAGGAATATGGTGGACATCGGCTGCAGGTGAGTGGGGGCGCCAGACCAAAGCAGGGTGCCAGTCGCTGTCATCAGGGTGAGCCTCTGGTGGTTACTGAAAATTCTTTGTTCCCACGTGCCATGGTCCTGCCCAGCACTCGCACCTGCTGCCGGCGCTGATCACTTGGTGCCATCAGTGGGTGCGAGCACAGCTGCCGCCCCAATCTTCCCTCACGGCTTCTCCACCTCCCCCTGCTCCTAAGGGGCAATTGGAGCAGCAGCTGCCTCTCACACCTGCTGCCGGCAACGGCATTGCTCACACCCACTGCTGTTGCCGGCCCCGCTCACACCTGCAGCTGGCACCAGAGCCACTGCTTGCACCCGCTGCCAGTGCCCGGCACCGGTCCTGATCGCTCAGCGCCATCAGTGGGTGCAAGCAGCAGCTGTCAGCCTGATCACCCCTGAGGGCTTCTCTACCTCCCCCTGCTCCTAAGAAGCAATCAGGGCAGCAGCCACCACTCACACCTGCTGATGGCACTGGCCCTGTCGTACCCGCTGCCAGCACCAGCCCCAATCTCTCTGCACCGTCAGCAGGTGCAAGTGGGGCTGGCTCCCTGGCTCTGTCAGCGCATGGTAGTGGTGGTGGTGGGAGTGGGGCTTCTGGCAGACAGGGAACTGGGGCCACGGTGGGAGGGGCCGGGTGGGGGTGCAGAGGATGGGCCAAGACCTGCCCCTGTGCCCACCACAGCCTCTCGGCCCACGGCCCACAGTTCCTTTCAAGGTGCATGAATTTGTGCACTGGACCCCTAGTATATATATAGTCAAGTCAAAAATACTCAGACTATGGTTAGCAAAACACTATAGGTGGGTTGCCTGTACAGAGGTCCAGAGTTCCTCATGGGACAAGTCCTCACCATTCAGAGGGGCTTCCAGTGTTGTCTAGGGAACACCATGGGCTCATGGATTCTGTTTTCTCAGGGGAAAAAATGTAACATACAATGATTCTGGGTAATTAAGATTTGGATAAAATGTTAGGCTTCAGGAGCCCTAAGCTTCTGGGCTGAACACAGAAAAGTTGGAACAAAATAATTGACACCAAACAACCAGTCCCAAGGAAAATTGAATCAGGAAGGGTTCAAATATAAGAAATAGTCTCCGGTGTGCTGTGACTGCTCTCTTTATTGAGCAAAGGGAAAGAACCACTCTAGCGGGTTGACCAGGCCAAAAAGGCCAGCCCTGTATGCAGAAGTAGGAGACACACAAAAAATAAACTTAACTATACCTGCCATTTATTGAATGTTTCCATTGTACCTGGGAGCTTATATGTTTTACCTCATTTAATTATCTTACCCCTGTTTTATAGTTGAGGAAATAAGACCCAGAGTAAGTGATAGGAGTAAGATGCAAATCCATTTTCCTATTGTGTTCTCTCTTTTTCTTTGACTGTTAAGTTGAACTGATGCCCAGCTGAGAGTCAGTGAATATAAAGGAAGATGGCTGGACAGTGAGGCGAACTGGAGTCTGACTGTAGTCTTGTGGGGAAGGGGGTGGCAGGGTGACGAGGCTGGGCAGGGGCAGACCCTAAACAATTTATAATGCCTAGTGTTGCACATTACGCAGGATCACAGGAGCTATAAGAAGTTCAGTTCTGCTGGAAGGCAGAAAGCAGGGTGAGGAGAGGGGAGCCTAGGTCCTCTGGGGCTTGGTGAACTCTGTTTGACATTGTCCCAGAGGCAATGGGAAGCAACTGAAGAGCGTTTAGCAGTGAGATTTTTTTTTTTAAGTGTTTAAAGCAAGTTAAGTGCTAGGATTTTGGCTTAGATGAGATGGATCTTGGTGTCAATCACTTGGAGAGAGAACACAGGTATAGTCTGTTTGTTAATTTGAGGTGTAAGCTCTCTTGGTGACATCCAGAATGGAACTGATTTTACAGTCTCCTATTTTCCCACACAAGACCTTTCTGAAAATTCTCATTAAATTAGATATGTGAGGGACTGATTTATATAACTGTTTGATTTGATATCAACTGATACCACAGTGTCCCAGTCCATTTGGTCTGCTCTAATAAAATATCACAGGGTGGGTGGTTTAAAACAACAGAAATTTATTTTTCACAGTTTTCGAGGCTGGAAGTCCAACGTCAAGACACTGCAGATATGATGTCTGGTTAGGGAAAGCTTCTGGTTCATAGATGGTCATATTTTCCCTGTAAACTCATATGGAAGAAGGAGCAAGGGATATTTCTCAGGCCTCTTTTAAAAAAGATCACTAATTCCATAGATCAACTTCCAAAGGTCTCGCCTCCTAATCCTATTACCTTAGGGGTTAGGATTTCAAAATATGAATTTTGGGGGAGACATTCAAATCATAGCACCCAGGAAGGATGTTCTGACATACTGCCCAAACCTGTGGACAAATGGCAAGCTAAGAGAGAAGACCTTTGCTTTCTTCACAAAGAAAACCCAATTCTGAGTGGCTGCTGGGTACCTGTGCACCACTCCTGTCTGAAAAGTCATTTAAACCCCAAGAACAAGCAAAACATTAATTTCTAAAATTAGATAATTAAGATATTCCATAATCACACACACATACAAAACAAAACAAAATAAACACCATTATTTCCAAGCCTTCCAGAAGCTGAGTTCAGCTTCCTGAGGTGCCCTGGTCATTTGGGCCTGGGATGAAACATGTCCTTCTATTGTCAGGTTTCTGGACTGGACAGTTAGGAGCCTGGAGCACCCATCTTCTGGAAAAGCCACTCCAAGCTCCACACTCTTCACTGCTACTTATTCTTGGTAGGTGATAAGAATGAAGATTGACAGTTATTGTGTACACATCATTGGCTGGGCACTGTTTTACATTCTTTACATATTTTCTTATTTATTCTTCACAATTATTCTAGGGTAAGGAAGGGTTAGACACTGATTTTACAATGAGGAAACTTAGTAAAGTAACTCTCCCAGGGTCAAGAAGCTAGAATTTTAATCCAGGCCGTCAGACTCCAGAGCATGGGTACTTTACCTTCATGTACTAGGCTGCCTTCCATAATTATGTTCATGTAGGCAGATGTTTTCTAACATATCTTTTTTGGATACAGACTCCTTTATTCAAGTTGAGTCTCAGCCAAAGCATAAAAAATAATGCAGATAATAGTGGAGGTGTGTGGCTGAAGTAGTAGGAGTGGGTCAGATCTGGAGCTTCGATTCTTTCCTCCACTTTAAATACCTCTCTAGACCCCAGGGCTCTTAGGGATACATTCCTCTTGCGAATTGATTAATATAGGCCTCAATTTTTCTTCCCTCTAGTACAATAATTTTCAAAACATGCAATACCTGACTATTTAGTCAGGGGCACTGACCTCTTTTCTCTTAGATTATCAAATAAATATGACAACAGCCAACAATATGTCAAAAAAGAAATGACAATATCTGTGGTGTGAATGCCCTGTCTTGAATCATAAATATGATATGATATGATATGATATGATATGACATGTAATAGAGTTGCATCTTATTGGTCATGTTACATAATAAGGTTGCATCTGATTGGTTAATTCTTGGTACCAGAAATCCTTATATACAAGTGCTAGAGGCCTGGTGCATGAATTCGTGCACCAGTGGGGTCCTTTGCCCTGGCCTGCGGGATTAGGCCAAAACCAGCTCTCTGACATCCCCTGAGGGGTCCCGAATTGCGAGAGGTGCAGGCCAGGCAGAGGGACCACACTGGTGCACGATCGGGCCAGGGAGGGATGTGGGAGGTTAGCTAGCTGGAGAGGGACTGCAGGAGGGCTCCAGAGCATGTCCAGCCCATCTCGCTCAGTCCCTATCAGCCAGACCCCAGCAGCAAGCTAACCTACTGGTCAGAGAGTATGCCCCTGGTGGTCAGTGCTCGTCATAGCAAGCAGTTGAGCGGCCTTAGCATATCATTAGCATATTACGCTTTGATTGGTTGAATGAACGACCAGACACTTAGCATATTAAGCTTTTATTATATAGGATAGGCACTTGATTTTCTACAAAGTCACTTTGGAGCAAAACGGGTAAGAAATTACTATTATTTTTTTATAAATCAATACAAAATTATACCTATTTTTTGTCAGATTGGCAAAAAATGTATTTTTTGGTGTGCCATAGAATTTTAGTAAATTAGTTTATGTGTGCCATGAGATGAAAAAAGTTGTAAATCACTGGTCTAGTGAATCAGCATTATTAAATTGTCAATTCTGATTATTCATGGATTCTGTATTTATAAATTCATCGACTTGCTAAAATTTATTTGTAACCCCCAAATCAATATTCATGGGCTTTCATGGACATTTTTGATCACACAAAACACTAAATGTTCGAGTCACCAGCTAAGGTGGCACGAGGTGGTGCTCTGCCTCCTTATTTCAGTTTTCATATTATAAACAAAATTTTTAAAAAACAGTCTAAAGCAGTGGTTCTCAACCTTGGCTGCACATTAGAATCACCAGGGAATCTTTTAAAAATTCTGATTTCTGGGCCTCATCCTCCAGAAATTCTGTTTCTTTGTTACTAATGTTGTGGCCCCACCCCATAACAAAGAAACAGAATTTCCAGAGGATGAGGCCAAGAAATCAGGATTTTAAAAAGATTCCCAGGTGATTCTAATGTGCAGCCAAGGTTGAGAACCACTTGACTAAAGAGCCAAGTTTTTCAAAAACTTTGTGCTTTTTGTTGGTGATTTCACTGTTTAAAATGCCCCCCAACACATGGTGCTGAAGTGCTGTCTAATGTCAGAAATACAAAAAGGTTGTGATGTGCCTCACAGAAATGTAGTGCTGTAGGCTGTGAATTCAATGTTAATAAGACAACTATTACAATATATTATATATGTATGATAATATGTATATTATGTAATATGTATAATATGACAACATACAATATATACATAATATGATTATATATATACTAGAAGCCCATTGCAGGAAGATTCCTGCAAGAATAGGGCTTCGCTCCCGTCTCTGCCGCTGCTACCCCGCCCATCTCTGCTGCTGCTACCCCGCCCGTCTCTGCCACTTCTCTCCCGCCCATCTCTGCTACCTCAGCTCCATTGCTTGGCTTCCTTCTACGGTGTCTTCAGTCTTCGCTCCCAGCCAGTATATGCAAATTAGCCGCCATCTTTATTGGTGGTTAATTTGCATATCGTGCTGATTAGCCAATGGGAGGCGTAGCGAAGGTACGGTCAATTACCATGTTTGTCTATTATTAGATAGGATGTGTGTGTGTCTGTGTGTTACATAAGATGTCTTTAAATAGAAACACACATAAAGCACAGTTATGTATTGATTGGTTGACAAAGATGTTGTGACTAGAGGCTCCTAGAAACCTAACTCTGTCTTTCCCCTATGTACCCCTAGTATTCACTAATTTTGTGTTTGTGGTAAATTTATAGAATGTAACTACCACAAATAATGAGAATTGACTGCATTGAGAGAGTCTTAAAGTCCCAATAGTGAGGCAGAACTTCATTTAAATTAATCCTAATTTTCAGTAACCCTATAAATGAAATATAATTATCTCCAATTTATAGATAGTAAAACTAAGGCCTAAATAATTTGCCAATGTCACTAAGATAGAGTGGATGAAGTCCAAGCTTAATAGCAGATGACTCTGTTGTTCTCTTTCCTTTTTGCTAAGTTCATTTTGTGAACTAATCCTAGTTGGTCATCTTGCACAATTCTGCCATATCCATGTCCCTGACACCCACTAGGTTTCTTTTCCATTGGTTTGAGCACAATACTCCCCCAAATCTTTTATACATGCCATAGACACACACATGACATTTCCTATTGATTTAGGATTCTGCTATATAGACAGTGCCACATGTTTGATGCTCTAGCCACATCCATCTCTTCCTTCTCTTTCATACCCATCAGGCTTCTGGCAGCCACTGAGGTTAGGATATCAGGCAAAGCAAAAATGTCTCCTAGTATGAGAGAGGGGGCAAAAAGGAGAAAGAGGACAAAAGACAAAGATTGGGGACAGTGTGGACTTAGAGAAGAAAGAAGAAAAGTGGTAAAGTTGGGAAGGGAATAGGCAGACTTGTCTGTTCAAAAGATGTGCAGAAGCAAAGAGAAAGACCAAGGGTGGGAATAGAGAGGAGTGGACCCTGAGCTGCACCAGTCATTGACAATTGTGTAATTCATTATATTTGAAAACAATTTTCATTTATATAATCTCATTTGCATATCACAACTACTCCATATAGGTGAAGGACACATTTGTTTTCTACTTTACTGGTGAGAAAACCACGGCATGAAGAGCTCTAGTGATTTACTCAAGGTCACAAAATTCTAATTTATTTCATATCCAAAAATAGGCTATTCATATCACACAGCAAAACTCAGTAATTGCTTCCTAGTGTTTTGATTTTTAAGCCAATTCCATGAATAGTCTATCAGGCTGCAAAGATATTTTCTTGTATTTTATGCTTGAACCATATGACTGTTTTAATAGTTTTACTTAGCTACAACTTCTGTAAGTTTTATTGCTCATGTTGAAACATTTGACTTAAATAAATTAGAACTGCTATTCTTTTTAAGAGGGTCAAAATGTTTTCAATGGATGGAAACGTCATGTGAATAAAGATGAAAGCGACTTTGTTGTACTCCTCTTCTGGGAATCTTTCTAGGGATATTACTAAAGTCAAGAATATATCAGAAATGAAGAAAAGATAGGAATATAAAGAATAGCTTTCATGGAAAATTGAAATCATTCCTTTTAAAGTTTACAATTTCTACCCTCAGCCTTGAAGGATGGGTTCTTTCCAGATAGAAAGGTGACAGCCACAATATGATTTTGATTCAACTATGGTTAATGTCAGGAGGTCTAGACAGTGATATTTTATTACAAACTTAACAGACATTTATGTAGCTAATTCAATGGGAGAAGCCCTGGGCTAGACGGGGCTGAGAGATACAAAAGAAAATGAGAATAAAGTCCGGGGGCGGGCGGAGGTGCAGGTGGCGGCCCTGAGCAGCCACCAGCTCACACACTGGCCTGTGAGCAGCATCGCCTCCGCAAGGAGACCCAAGCAGTTAACAGGTCATGGCACATTAAAAAAAAAGATTACAGACAGATACAAAAGCTCTGTATTGAGAGTATACAGAACCAGAAGCAAATTGCCAACATTGGTGGACTTAGGGAAGAAAGAGCAAAAGTGATAAAGATGGGAAGGGAACAGGCAGCCTTGTCTGTTCAGATGATGTGTGGAAGCAAAGAGAAAGACCAAGGGTGGGAATGCAGAGTTGCAGACTTTGAGATGCACCAGTCACTGACACTAGAGTAATTTTTTATATTTGAAAATAATTTTTATTTCTATAATCTCATTTGCATATCATAACCACTCTGTAAAGGTGAAGTCCATCATATGCATCCAAAAGAGACCACCTGTCAGCTGAGCTTGGCTGTGAAAGATGGTCTTATTGTTGAAAGTCTCACTGTGGGATGCAAAGGTTCAAAAGCTGGTATTGAACAAGAAGGATATTGGTTGCCAGGAGATGAAATTAGGAAACAGAAAATCATGACTGGTATTGTTTTGAATGCCATCTTCCTGGAGAGGTGTTGATATGTGATCTGTGTTTTCATGTGTATCATTCCAAGTTTTTGTCTGATGACTACAGGCTTAGATACAGCAGTAGTCACTGGCAGTGCCTTGTTTGCAGGACCATCAAGAAGAAAAGTACAAACAAACAAGAGATGAGCACATACCTGAGGTTTATTGTCTCCTCATGAAGGAGAAGGCTATAGACCTCAATAAAAAGGGGAAGGACAGCAAACACCCGATGTACCGGAGGCTGGTGCACTCAGCAGTGGATGTCCCCCATACAAGAGAAAGTGAATGAAGGGAAATATCGAAGTTATGAAGAGTTCAAAGCTGATGGTCAGCTACTTCTCCACAACACAGTGATTTTCTATGGAGCAGACAGTGAGCAAGCTGACATAGCAAGGATTCTGTTTTAAGCCACCTGTCATGAGATGGATGAGCTACAGCTTTGTAAGAACTGCTTCTATTTATCAAATACTGGTCCTGACTATTGGTTCTGCTATCCTTGTATACCTAATCATGAACTGGTTTGGGCTAAGATAAAAGGTTTTGAATTCTGGCCAGCCAAGGTAATGCAGAAGGAGGACAATCAGGTTGACGTCTGCTTCTTTGGTCACCACCATTAAAGAGCTTGGATTCCTTCTGAAAACACACAGGACATTGCAGTCAGTGTCCATTGGCTTTGTGTATAGCACATTGTGGGTTGGGGAAAGGCCTGTGATAAGCAGGAACTGAATCAGCATTTCCTCCGTGAAGGAAGATTTTGGAAGTCTAAGAATGAAGACCTTAGGGAGGAGGAGGAGGCAGAAACCAGTATCTCCTCTCCCAGCAATGAGCAGCTCACGGTCACTCAGGAACCAAGAGCAAAGAAAGGGCATTGTAATCAAAGTGTGGAACCAAAAAACAAAGAACCAGAGCATGAAACTGAAGCAGTCAGTTCCAGCCAGGAAATCCCCATAATGCCTCAGCCAACTGAAAAAGTTTCAGTGCCAACTCAGACTAAGAAGTGAAATGCCTCTTCACCAAGAATGCTGCATTGAAGCACCAGACCATTAGTGATGGAGTGTGTCAAAGCATGTGCCATTAGGATATTTATAACATCATTCTCGGGTCATACAAAATTATCAACTTAAAAATTAGCCTGAGAGAACCAAGATGGCGGCATAAGGTATAAACCTGTGCGTGCTGCCTCCCACAACAACACTGAAATTACAAGTATAAGACAAAACAGCTATCATCCAGAACCACGGGAAAGCTGGCCGAGTGGAAGTTCTACAACTAGAAGGAAAGAAAGAAGTGCATTGAGACCTGGTAGGAGGTGCAGATGCACCAAGAACAGAGGTACGCAGGCGTGCGAGAGGCGGCTGCACCTTGGTGCGCAGTTTTTTTCAATCGGAAGGTGATACAAGCTCTCGAACGCACTGAGCTCGTTTAAGGCGAGATTCTGAGGTCCCAGACTCCTACGGGGAGAAACTGGACTGTCTTGCAGTGGTTTGGAAAGTGAGCGGGGCTTTCTCACAGAGCTGCTTGCAGGGATCATTGTTGCTGTGGGGGCACGGGACTACAGAGATGGGACTGCAGAGATGTGGAGTCACAGAGACACGGAGTCGCGGAGTCACAGAGACACCAGGAGTTGCGGACACGCTGACGACAGTCGCTCTGCCCTGGTGATTCTCTGAGACCCCGCCCCACTCAATTTACATCCCCTCCCAAGCTGTGCTCAGCGGTGCAAAGGAATCACCTTGGCTTTTGCAGCCTAATCTAACTGCAGCTGGGTTAGAGAGCTCCAAACCTTCCAAATTCCAAACAAAGAGGAGAAATCTGCTGATATCGCTGTAGCTCCTGCTGGGTGGACTCACACAGTGGTTGACTTGGAGAGCCAGGAGCCAGGGTACCCCTGGTCAGATACCAGATTTCAACTCCTCACATCCATAAGGGACACACTCAAGAGGCAGACTCAGTGAGCACCAAAGCCCCACTGAAGCAAGTCCTGCCCCATAAGGGTGTCTCCAGCACAGCAGTTCTTCTTATAGACACAGTGGGTCCTCGCAGTCAGCCAAAAATGCAAAGACAAAGAAACATGTCACAGATGAAAGAAATGGAGGAAAGCAAAATAATGGAGGACATAGAATTCAGAACCACAGTTATAAGATTACTCAA